AAACGACCACAATGCCAGTCCTGAGATCTGATCTGGGCACTGCACTTGCTTCACGCGCAGCGGGGCGAGGAGAGTTCGCCCAGGCTCGGGCCGTGGACCAGCACAGATCGCTCGGGCTCGAGGAGTGCCGCAGAACGATACAGTCGGGGCGTTGACCTAAGGAACCCGAAATAAGGAACGAGGCGCCTTTTTTTCCATCAGATAGACTTCGATTTCCGATCGAAAACATGAGGAAAACCTGAGGCAAGCTGTGAAACACTTGAGGAACGCGGGGCCCCTCCTCAACGAAAAGGGTTCCTTCTTCAGCGCCCCGACTGTGGGGCGCCGGGCTCCGATCCTGATGATGTGCGAGGTCGTTGTTCTTTGCTCGCGACGTCGGACCTCGCTAGGGTTTAGGGCTTAGGGCCCAAAAGTTCAACTCGGAGCCTTCTGGATGTATCCCGCCCACCCATGACCCCAGACATACCGAGCTCAATTCATCGAGGGGTCGATGCTCAAGTATACGACGAGGATGACGGCGACGCGCGTCAGCCCGCGCCACGGCGCGCACGTGCCAACGCGGACGGAACGGGTCCGAACGGGAAACACGCGCGCGAAGCTTTTATGGGTCTTCTGAATATCATGAGTCCTCTGAGTCGCGCATGGGGTGGGGGGTTCGGAATTAGCCGCCATGCGGGAGGGGCACGACCCGTGCGCGGGCGCGCATGGAAAGGGGAGGGGGGGGTACTAGCCGCCATGCGGGAGGAGACACGCTCCGTGTGCGGGCACGTATGGAAGGAGGGTCTAGGAATCAGCCGCCATGCGGGAAGGGCACGATCCGTGTGCGGGCACGCATGGAATGAGGGTTTAGGAATTAGCCGCCATGCGGGAGGGCACGCATGGAACGAATGTTTAGGAATTAGCCGCCATGCGGGATCTGTGTTCGGACACGCATGGAACGAGGGTTTGGGAGTTGGCCGCCACGCGGGAAAGGCACAATCCGTGTGCGGGCACACATGAGATGAGGGTCTAGGAATTCGCCGCCATGCGAGAGGGGCACGATCCGCGTGCGGGCACGCGTGGAATGAGCGGTTAGGAATTAGCCGCGCATGCGGGAAGAGCACCATCCGTGTGCGGGCACGCGTGGAATCAGAGTCTAGGAATTAGCCGCCATGCGGGAAGGGCACGATCCGTGTGCGGACACGCATGGAATGAGGGTTTAGGAATTAGCCGCGCATGCGGGGCGCTTCAAGGGCTTTTCGAAATTGAAGATTTACACGCTCTGAGTTCTTAGTTTGTTTTGTTTGCGAGACTGCATTTGTTTTTGTTTGCGAGGGGTCACCACCGCGAAAGTCGCCAACGCCTCCAGGCGGCGGTACCCGCCGGACACACCCCCCGGGACTCCCGGCGGAGGCCCCCCACGTGGGATCTGGCCCGATGGGGATCGGAGGATCGCGCCGCACCGCCCCGATGCGTCGCCGAAGCGTCGGCGCCGTCGGCGTGGAGACAGTCGGGCTCCAAGTCGAGCCGCGTCGCCGATACATCGGCGATGCCGCGCAGACCTCCGACCCCATCCGCTCGGACCCCGCTTGGAAGGCCTGGGCTCCCGAACACGCCCAAACGCGCCCAAAACCTCCTCGATCTTCGAGCCTCCCTCCCATAGATCCGATATTGCACAATAAAAAAGAATAAGAAGAAGAAACAGAAGAAGAAAAAAGAAGAAGGAGAAGAAGAGGAAGAAAAAACAAAAAAAACAAACAAACAAAAAACAAAGCAGCAGAGCCTCAAACACCGTCTTGCCGCGGCAGTCCTCGAGCCGGACCGATCTGCGCGATGGTCCTTGGGCCCGAAGCAAGGCATCATCGCCCGCTGCGAACAAACTGCGGCGCCAGGATCTCAGGGTCCCTCCTCCTCGATGCTCGACGTCCAGGGGGCGCCTGGCAGCCCCCCTACGACAGGTTCGTGTAGTGCCGACTCCGGCCTTGGTTCCTGACACCGCGGGGATCGTTCAACCTTGAACGATCGGCCGCTTCCGCTTCGTCCAATCGTTCAACATCGACCGATTCTGGGTCGCCGCCGGCATTCAACGTTGAGCGCCGGCGGCGGGGTCGCCGCTGGTCGGCACGACAGGGACCTACCGTAAGATGGTGCCCTCCCCTTCCCCCCCCCGCCCCTCCGGCGCCGCCCGAGCCTTGAGCGCTGGCAGGTCGACCGCGGGGATGTGCCCGCCCGGGGGGGCCGTCTCTGAGTCCACCTGGGGAGGGCGCTAGAGATACCCCTCCCCTCGTCTGCCCTCCTCTCCCCCCCATCCCGCCCTCCCCTCCCTCGATCCATCCCCATCCTCCTCCTCCTCCTCCTCCTCCTCCTCCTCCTCCTCCTCCTCGTCCTCCTCCCCCTCCTCCTCCTCCTCCTCCCCCTCCCCCTCCTCCTCCTCCTCCTCCTCCTCCTGCCCCTCCTCCTCCTCCTCCTCCTCCTCCTTCTCCTCCTCCTCTTTCATCTCATCCATCCCCTTTCCTTCATAGATAACTCCTCCCTGTTGCACCCCGACTCGGGTCGGTAAGGCGGACTGGGCGTTTCGCCTGAGACTTCCACGGCCTTTCTGTTCATTAAGCTTGAAAGTTGCACCAGTTTCACGGACGGGTCGTTTCCAAAAGGTGGCTCTCGCCTTTACGCCGCGCCCCTTCGTCGGAAAAAGCTCACCAGAGCTTCATAGATGTAGGGCGTGCCGTTTACAAAGTGTAGCCCTCGTCCTAGCGACGCGCAGATTGGCCTTAGGAGTTAGTCAGAGCTTCACGGATGGAGAGCGGACCGTTTTCAAAATGTGGGTCTCGCCTTGGCGCCGCGCACATTCGTTTTAAGTGTGCAAAGAATTGACAGATGGAGGGCGGCTCCATCTTCAAAATGTGGTTCTCACCTTAGCACCGCGAACATTCGTCTCAAAAGTCTACAACCGAATCAAGGGTTACTAAGGCTGACGTCCCTACAAATTGTGTGTGGCATGATGTAGGACTGTCAGGGCGCAACCGTCACGTTGATTCGCGGTGTTGAAGTCCCAGATGGAGTTCTGGCACTGTTCACAATCGTCAGGACGCAACAATAGTGTTGACTCGCGGCGTTGAAGTCACAGGAATTCTGTTGTGGCAAAGTTCAAGATCTTCAAACGGCTTTCTTACAACGGGGAACTACCCTCACCGAGAAAAACCCTTGTAGTGACCTGTGAAGAGCAAACTTAGAAAGAGGGATGATTGCAGCATCGTTGATAAGTCTTGGCTTTGCACTGGTCCTCCTGCTCCTCCTCATCATCCTCCTCATCCTCCTTCTCCTCCTCGTCCTCCTCCTCGTCCTCCTCTCCTCCCACGCTCACCGACCCCGATCATCGTTCGATGATCCTCAGAACGTGTGTTAGCGCCAAGGCGTGCTTGTCCACCGAGGCCCTTCATTGCGAAGGAGGCGGTCCCTACGGTCAGGAACCTTGCTTAGCGTGTCGCAGTGGCGGTCCCGTCGACACGCAGTGCCTTGCAAGCGGGTAGCGTGTCGCTCCGCTCAGCGGGGCGCGAGGCCGGGAAAAGCTCGGGACGTTGACGCTCGGATACCGGGGCGAGGCCAGCGTGTCGCGCCGAAGCGTGGTGGGCCAGAACAGGCGGCGCGGCACGCCAAATCAAGATTCCTGACCGTACACACTCGCACCGACCACGATCAGCATTCGATGCTCCTCGGAGCGTGTGCTGGCGTCAGCGTGTGCATGTCGACCGAGGCCCTTCCGCGCGAGGCAGGCGGTCTGGGAGGAGCCAGAACAGACTGCGTGCCATCGGTGGAGCGGAAAAGACCAAACGCACATTGGGCTCGCACACGTTGGAGCTGAGGCCTTGTCGGAGAATCGCGCCGCATCGCCGATACATCGCCGATGCATGGGCGATACATAGGCGACGTCGGCGATGCATCGGCGCCATCGGAGTGGAGAAAATGGGGCTACACATCGAGCCGCATTTGCGATGCATCAGCGATGCGGCGCCAACCTCCGACCCCATCGACTCCGGCCCCATTGGGCTGGACAAATGCACCGACCCCGATAAGCATCCTGGACCCAGGACCGACGCTTACGCGCTTCCTGTTTGGCCCTGGAGGCATATGCCCGGAGCGCCCCGGTATCGTGACTTGTGCGCTCACGGCGTGGACTCCCCAGGACGCGGCATTTCATCCTGAGTCGTGTTCTGACGGCTCCTGGCAAGGGCCCCTGAGGGGGGAAACGACGCGGAACTCGCCGCCTCTTGCGTGCCTCGCAACGCGAGGGCCCCCTGGCCCCAGAAGCCCCCTCTTGTGCCTCCAGGGCTGGACCCAAACGGTGTTTTTGGTGACTTCGTGGGCCGTTGTCGTTTCGACTTCGTCTTGCGGTATAAGCGGATTCGAGACAAGAGCGAAAGAAGACGAAAACAAAAAACGAGAACGAAAAGCACCGCTCGAAAACAAAAACAAAAACCAAACAAAAACGAAAGGAAACAAAACAAAAACAAAGACAACAAACAAAACAGAAACAAAAACAAAACAAACACGGAAGGAAAAATACAAAACGAGAACGAAAAGCACCGCTCAGGTTCAGCCCAGCCTCCCGGAGAGCGCCCGGAGGGCGCGCAGCGCCGCCCCAGAGGCGCACGGACGCCCCGGCCCTCGATCCCGCGCAGAGCGGCGCAGCAACGAGGCCTGCGCGCCGACTCCCCCTCCGGGGGCGCTCCGCGCGCCCCGGCGGGGCGCCGTCGGAGGCGGGCGGCGCCCCGAGTTATGGCAGGGCAGGAGGTGGTTTCCTCCTCCTCCTCCCTCCTCCCTCCTCCTCCCTCCTCCTCCTCCTCCGTAGCCATTTTGGCTCAAGACTTCTGCACGTGAGGGCTCCGCGCCCTTGTGCCAAAACGGATACCGTTGTTACCGCGGCAGTGAACCAAGTGCTCGGTCAGTCTGCCCTGACCTGGATCTTGTGCTGGTCCGCCCCAGCACAGGACACCGCCTTGTAGACGCGCGCGGTTGTTTTGATGACCCGTCAGAAGTCGGCCAATGGCGCGAAGACCCAGAAAGCGACTTACACCACGTGCATCTCCTGTGGCAATTGGGCGTGGGATTGGCGCCTGCGTAAGCAGCATGGGAAGTGTAAGGTCTGTGGCTCCCACGTCTCGGGCTTTGAGAACGAGCCGTGGATCCGCTCGCAGCACACCCGTGCCCCGTGGGACCATGCTGACCAGTCTGCGTGGTCGGCTCCAGCATGGGCTCCTCCGTCCAAGGATTGGCCCTCGCTCCCGCCCAAGGCGGAGCCCGCTCAGCTCTTGCAGCAGTATCTCAAGGTGGCTGGTCTCTCCTCGGATTCGACGGCGCTGCAGCTCGCTCACCAGTTCGAGGAGGCGGCGGAGCGTATTAAGCCCAAGCCCAAAGCCAAGTGCCCATATGTTGTCCTGCGCGAGGCCACCTCTCTCTGTGCCCAGACGCAGGCCAAGCTCGCCAAGGCGTCCAAGCAGCTCCTCTCGGCCGAGGCCTGGTTGGAGGAGTGCAAGGGGCGCCAGCTGGCCGCGGCTGATGAGCTCTTCGAGGCGGACCAGGCCCGCTTGGTCGCCCAAGAGGCCACGCAGAGCGGCGGCGCAGGCGTCAAGACTGAGACTGCTGCCGCTGAAGGTGGCGAGGCGACCCCTCACTTCGGCGTCGACCCCCAGCTCTTCCAGGACTTGGATGACTATGAGGGGGACAAGCAGAAGCTGTTGCAGTTCCAACGGGAGCTTGATGACATCGCGACACAGGACAAGGCCCGCGAGCAGCAGTTCAAGGAGCTGCTCGCCTCTGCCAAGCAGGCCTTGCGTGCTCCTCGCAAGAGGCGCCGCGCAGATGGCGGCCAGGCCAAGGCTGATGAGGCAGAGGGCGCGGCTGCGGAGGCGACCCCAGGCGCGGCTGCAGCCGATGGCAGTGGCGGCGGCGCTGGCTCCCAGGACCAGCCGTCCGCTGAGGAGCGCGCCAGGCTCTTCGCCTCCATCGCCGCGTCCTCGCGCGAGGCCCAGCTTGCTGCTGGGCGCGGGGAGTTCGCCGCTGAGGTTGCTGCCCCTGGCCGCGACGCTCCTGCTGAGCCGGCTGCCGTGCACGAGCGCGGGTGGCATGGGCGCCTCTTCAGGCGATGCCACGGTGTTCTACTCCAGCATCACAGAGTGGGGCCCTCAGGCCCGACGGTTCCTCACGGAGAAGTATTATGACCATTCAGTTGTGGCGCTGGCGGAGACCCACCAAGGGGCCAATGCCTTGCCGCAGCTGGAGACCGACCTCGAGAAGGATGGATGGCAGCTGAGCTCGACTCCTGCGCGTGCTTCTGGGCGCTCTGAGTCGGGTCTCAGTGGAGGCGAACGGATTATCACACGGAAGTTCGTTGCCAGTTCTTCGTTCGTTCCAGCGCATGCGTGCGGCTGCTCGCGCTGAAGGCCGCCAGGACCCCTGCAAGGGGTTCGCCCCTCTCACCCTGCACTTGAAGACGGGGAACGGTGTGGTGATCGCTGCCTACCTGCAGCCAGGCCTGGAGTTTCGCGGCATCAACAAATGACATCATGGTCGCGCTGGCGTCTTTCACTCGGGCCCTTGCCGACCCGCGGCTGGCGGTGGCGGACTGGAATTGTGAGCCGCCCAGTCTCGTTGCCAGCGGATGGGCCCCACAGCTGCAGGCACGCCTGGAGGTCCCGCAGAATTGTAAAGCGACTTGTGGCAAGGGCCCAGGCCGCTTGTATGACTATGTGCTCGCCAGCTACACCTGCCCTGATATCTCCTTGCAGGCTGTGCAGAGCGCCCCTTGGAAGACGCACTGTGGTGCCTTGATCACCACCAAGGGCGCGCGTAAGGAGCGCTGGGTCTCGAAGTTGGTCGCGCCCAACTTCGGCGGCATCTGCAGAGTTTGGATCTGCAGCAGAAGGACGCCTACTTCGGCAAGAAGACCACGCTTGAGTTGGCTGCGGCGTGGGTTGCGGATGCTGCCATCCTGGAGGAGCTGGGGGATGGCGCGCTGGACCATTTCGCGCAGCTGGCTCAGCGCTGGTCGGACTGGGCCCCGACACGGGCAATGATGGCCTCCAGGGCTAGCTTCATGGCTTCGGTGCGCGAGCAGTGGCGAGTCAAACCAGGCTTAGTGCATCGCCATGTCAAGCCAGATCCTCCACCTGAATGGGAGGGTGCTGGCCCCGACGGCTGCCCCACCAGCCACCCTCATCTCCTGTTGGAGGGCAAGCGCCAGCATTGGTCTGGGATCTGGCGCGAGCAGGTGGACACTCAAGAGGACCTCCACTACTGGCTGGACCAGTTGCACTCAGACGCCTTGGAGGAAGCGTTGCCGCCCTTTGAGCTTGACCAGCTCACCTCCACCCTGCGGGCCATGCCATCGAATAAGGCTCAGGGAGTTGATGCTCTAGGGCCGAACGATGCGCTGCGTCTTCCAGACGTTGGGCGCCGCGCTCTGGTGAACCTCTTAAATGAGATTGAACTTTCAGGGGTGTGGCCTGAAGAGCTCATGACGGCGCTCGGCGCATCCATCCCAAAGGAGGCGGGCGGCCACCGTGTTCTTGGTCTGATGCCCCACACGGCCAACCTGTGGAGCAGGATGCGCTCAGCGCCGTCTTTCTCTTGGACGGAAAAGCAGGGGGCCTTCTGGGACACGGCGATTGCGGGGCCCCCAGCCTTGCGCGCGGCGCTGGCTGGGGCCATCTTGGACGAATGTGCTCGTGAGCTTGGCGTATCATACGCCACGCTCTTTCTTGAGTTGCAGAAGTTCTACGACTCGATCAGTTTCGTTCTGTTTATGAAGGCTAGTCGTTCTCTGCATTACCCTGCCATCATCACTGTCCTGGAGGTCGGCATGCATGCTGCACCTCGCCTCGTCATGCGGGGCGTCTCGGTCAGCTCTGCCCTGGAGCCTGGCAAGTCCATTGTCGCTGGCTCCCCGCGAGGGGTGGACATGGCCAAGGTTATGCTGCACTGCCTCCTTCAGGAGGCTCACGTGGCGAGCCCACGCGCAGGGCTGTGGACCTTCATTGACGACACTGTCTGCAGGACGGAAAGTGCTCGAACCACGGTGATTGGAGATATGAAGTCGGCCGCTCAGTCCATTGCTCAGTTGTTCAAGGACAACCGTCTGACGATCTCCGACAAGACTAAGCTGGTTGCCAGCGATGATGCGCTGGGCTCGTCTCTGGTCACCTCCCTGAAGAGCATGGGCATTCCCGTCACCCTCACCCCGTCGGCTGTCGACCTGGGAGTTGACGCAGCCGGTGATCGACGGCGGGCTCGACCTAAGATTCGCACTCGGGTGGCTCGGGCTTCTGTGCGCCATAGCAAGATCCAGAAGCTGCGACGGCTTGCTGGTAGCCACAAGGTGGCGCGTGGCCTCTGGAGGGCAGGCGTGCTACCCTCTGCTACTTATGGCCATCAAGCTCATGGGGTGCCGCCCTCAGTGATGACTAAGTTGCGCAGGCAAGCATCGGTCTCGATCGCTGGCCACAATAGGGGCCGCTGCTTGCAGACTGTCTTGCAGGCTACTCTTGGCTCGGGCGACCCCTCCTTGCAGCTTCGACGTGACGTTCTTACTGAATGGTTTCGGATGTGGATTGCGCACCCGTACTTGCATGTACGCACTGCTCGTGTCTGGCCTCGTGTTCGTGCTGGGCTGGGTGATCGCGTCCGCTGGCGTGGAGTCCGTGGGCCCATTGCTCCCCTCCAAGCTACCTTGATGCAGGTTGGCTGGGAGCCCTTGGAAGCCACCCGTTGGCGTCGTGCAGGCGCTGAGGGGCCAGAGGACTACACGTTCCTCTCTTTCGGCGAGGCTGGCTACAGTGACACCGTCTTGGAGGATTTCAACGAGCTCTTGGCGGACCTTGAGCACGACTGCCGCGCTGCTGCCCGGCGCTTGGCTGCCAAGCATCCTGATGGTGAACAGCTCGCTGGCGGAGCAGATCTGCATGGGATACAGCGTGAATTGGATGCCTTCGCCAAGAAGGGCGCCATGGACATGTAG